TAGCCATCTAAGATGCATCAATTGATCCCAACCACCTGGAGTAAAGGAGAATGAAGAACACCAAAGTCACAAAGTAAGTATTAGCCCAAGAGACAGAAAGGGCCACATAAACCAGAGACTTCATCAGCCTGAGATCGGAAGAACTAGATGGTGCCCGACTACCACCAATGACTGCCCTGACAGAGAACACAACAGAGAGTCCCTGATGGAGCAGGAGAAAGGTGGGGTGCAGAACTCAAATTCTAGTAAAAAGACCAGACTTAATGGTCTGGTTGAGACTGGAGGAACCCCAGAACGCACGGCCCCTGGACTCTCTGTCAGCCTAGAACTAAAACTATTTCTGAGGCCAACTCTTCAGACAAAGATTGGACTAGACAGTGGGACATAAAATGATACTTGTGAAGGGTGTGCTTCTTAGCTCAAGTAGATACGTGAGACTAAACAGGCAGCTTCCGTCCAGAGGTGAGATGAGAAGGCAGAGAGGGTCAGGAGCTGGTTGAATGGACACGGGAAATCAGAGGTGGAAAGGAGGAGTGTGCAGTCACAGTATAGGGAGAGCAATTAGGGTCACATAACAATGTATGTATAAATTTTTGCATAAGAGACTAACTTGAAATGTAAACTTTCACTTAAACTACAACAATAAACAAACAAACAAAGAAGACCTTGGAAAATCCACTCTGCAACTTCAAGCCTCAGTTTCCTTTTCTGCCAAGTGGGAATGCTAGCAACTCTCAAGATTATTTGTAAAAGTTAGATGAAATCATGAATGTAATATGATTGGAACACAATACAAGCTCACTAAATGTAGGTCATTGCTGTGATCATAAAAATAATCATTATCACTCATCATTATTGACTGGACTTTGTGGCCTGCTATGAAATTCTACAGCCAAAAGCAGAATATATTTCTCACTGAAAGTTGGAGGCGGGAGCTCAGAGAAGAGACAATATTTGAACAGCAGCTTATAAAAAAAAAGGTTGAGTTGCAAGAGCAAGAGATGTAAGAAGGGGCATTCTATGTTGAGGTGGGATCCTGCAGGCACAAAGAGTCAGGGAAGGAATAAGCAGACACAGGACCAGAATAAACCGGTGCACCTAGAATGGAGGTATGGATTTAGCGGGATCAAAGGCTGAAAGCATGAGGTATGAATTTAGGGCCAGGCTAGGGAGGCCTTGCAAAGAAACATGAGCAGGATTCTGCAGGCAAGGGGAGATGCTGAAAGAGTTTAAACTGGAAGAGAAAAGTGAAATGAACTACCAGAAGTTTTGGGTGAATTCTTACTTATAAAACTAGTGTAGAAGTCCAAGAGTTCACCTCACGGAAGCCCCCTGGAGAGTGATAGATTGGCTTGAGTTTCCCCACTGTGTATTCCTAACACCCTGAATCACCTGTTATTAATAGCAATCACAATGTATTATAATTATTTATTTTATTGACCATCTTCCCCACCAGATTACAAGCTTCACGAAGACAGAGGTGATGTTTGCCTTGCTCATTGTTATATCAACTTTGCCTAGCCCACAGTAAGCATTCAAATGCCCAATGGGTACATAGCATAGAAAATATTATCCTGCATTCACTATATACATCTAGACTCTTCCCGTATCCATTATATATTGACATAGAAGGACCTTCCCCTCAGCTTGGCAAAGAGTGAAGACTCATCTCCTTTTACTGAATGATAATGAAGTTCTTAAGGAGCATCTAACCGTTAAAATTTTCTAGTCCTTCAACTGGACTGGAAGATCCTAGAGGCCAGGAAAATGATGCTTTTTTTTTTTTAATCTCCCGCTTCCCTAGTATTCCCTAGTTCATCATTAGTCTGGGCCATTGAAAATCATAAAGTGACATTTATTTTTAAATGTTCCGGTGTTTTCATTGTTAGGATTGGTTTTCATCCTAATTGATTGCAATGGCATGCTTTAAAGTCATAGATGACTATCATCTGGCATTTCTGAATATGTATATATTTCAAAGCACCTACTCAAGCAGCAAGGTGTTTCTTTCTCCTTTTGAACTCATCTGCTTTTTAGGACCAGTCAAAGAGCATATTGTAACCCAGAGTGTTTTCTTCTTTGCCCTGTTTGCCAGGAAGCTCAGAGAGATACTTGTTGTGCTGAACTGCTGAAGCTGTCATCAGCCAGGGTTTTTTAATACTTTCACTTTTCTCTCTACCTTTTTATCTTGGCTGCTACATTTTGCCTTGTGTTAATGGTTCTTATATACCTGTGCATTTGTTATAAGTTGTCTCAAAACCTTTTTAAAGTAAGCAAGTGTTAAATACACACACACACATATATCCACCACTGAAAGTGTATCTATCTGTATATCTTCCACATGTCTTCTGCCTGCACCCCCCACCCCATCCTTCAGCTTCTATGTCCTCTTGAGCAGTCTATTTTTTGTCCTGTGTCAACCACGACTTACAGCGTTAAATAGTATAGTAAAACCTGTGAAAGCCGGAACCTTTGTAAGGCAAAAACCTGCCGGAGAAGGAAAACTCAAATAGTTTCCACTAACAGAGTGATAAAAAAGTGGTAAGACTGCACCCTGTCAAAGGTGGAAAACTTGCAAGAACCAGGAAAACAAGGCAGTCCCATCAAGTTCCAGACCTCACAGGTTTCACTGCAAATATTTTAGACTTCACAGGCCATGAGGGTTCACAGCAACTACTCAACTCTACCTGTTGTTGCAGTGCAAATGCAGCCATAGACAATACATAAACAAATGGACATGGCTATATTTCAATAAAACTTTATTTTAAAAAATAGGCAGCTGGCTGGATTTGGGCTGTGGGCTGTAGTTTGCTGACCCCTGCTCTAAACTTACCACCCACTGTACCTACCCTTCCTGGCTCCTCTCAGTGAAGTGTCACTCTGGCCCAACTCCAATGCCCAGTGTCTCAAGTTGGCCTCAGCAAGACAGAGGCTCTCCTGTTAATGGGACAGGACCCTCTCTCCACAGAAGGCAGTTTCGTTGCATGTTTTATTGCTTGCACACACCCTGGGAGTCTCTCCTTCTCTCATATTTACCATAAACCGAAAAATCAAACCCGTTGTCATCAAGTCGATTCCAAATTATAGCAACCTGGAGGACAGAGTGGAACTGCCCCATACGGTTTCCAAGGAGCGGCTGGTGGATTTGAACTGCCGGCTTTTTGGTTAGCAGACGAGAGCTCTTAACCACTATGCCACAAGGGTTCCATATACACCAATATTTCTTAAAAATATTTTTTCTACCACCAGCTGTAATCACCACAAGAGAAATAATCTTCATTTTATTACAATTATATCTCCATTTGCATAAACAACAGTATTTTCAGATCCTACAGTCACATATCAGGTTAGAAAAAGGGCTCAACCAAGGGGCAGAAAAACCAGTCTTCATGTCAACTTTATCCAGCTACATGACCCTGAACAATAATTTCTCTATGCCTCAGTTTTATCATCTGCATAATGGGTATAGTAGTTCAGCTGCCCAAAGGCCAGGGTCTAGACCAGATGATCTCTTGAACCTTCTTTCTGGATGTTAGGTAGGTTTTTCTCCTTAAACTAATGATTCTCAAATGGTTTCAGGCATCAAAATTCCCTGGGGTGCTTGTTAAAACAGATTGCTAGACCCCAGCCTGAGCTTCTGATTCAGTAGGTCTAGGGTGGGGCCTGATAATTTGCAATTCTACCAATTTCCCAGGGGATGCTGATGCTACTGGTCCAGGAACAACACTTTGATAAGCACTAGTAGCATGATAGAGATCTCATAGCCCCTTATATAGGGAAGCAATGAGTGTTCCTACAGCTAGTTTCTCTACATGCCTTCGAAATAGTGTTCCCACTTAAAGGAATGAGAGATTTGTTCTGTTTGTCCACTGAGCTTCAGGTGCTGTAGCCACACCTCAGCAACTAATTACAGGCTGACAGGAAACTGGTGGTCATGCTCCCAGGGCCAAGTGGGAACGCAAAGGCCAGTGGGCAGCCAGGTCAGCCATCTGGAGAAGGATGGGGCAATAGGGGCAGATGAGAAGTAAGAGGCAAATATGCTATGACACAATTCCTTTGTATAAGCCACTCTTCTAGAACTTTCTCTTTTCATAAACACAAAGTCAACACAAGCATTGGTTGAGAGTTGACTATAGGCCCAGTACCAAGTAAAGCAGGGAATCAGAAGAAGACTGGGGAAGTGCAGACTACCCTCGGTGGGACTCTGAATCTCATGGGGAAGGCAAATTCACACATGTTAACACACCTGAGAGCTGTAAGTCAAGACAAGTAGATAATTAGATATAGGATAATGTGGCATGGAGATAGGATGTTCTGGAAAGAGGATGTTGGTGCATTCAAGAGATCTGGACAGGCTATTCTGGAGGAGGTGAAGCAGGCTGGCAGAGCTTGGAAGGACAGGAAGGATCTGAAGCAATGGAAGGGTGAGGAAAACATGAGAGGAAGCTTGGATGCAGGGGGAATATTAGCAGAATAGGGATGAGAAGGTCCAGAGGGGACTTCTATGCCCGTCTCTACTCCTGCCGGTGTGTACTCCCTCAGGTCATTCCCATTCCTGTGTCTTGATTTCCTTATTTGAGAAATTAGGGATTTGGGTTACATTAGAAGTTTTCCAATTTTGTTCCATCATGAAGTGGCCCCAGGCCAGAAGAGGGTGAATGAGCAGGTGGTACCCAGCTCTTCTTGTTGTCCCACCTTTGCTTCAGCCAGAACAACTCTGCTTTCTTACATTTTTACACTCCCCATCCAGTTTCACTTCCAGAAAGGATTTTAAAACCACTCAACAAGAAACTCTGTAAAGGCTCTTCCCATTCCAACATTGGATAATTCAATAGAAGAGAGAAAGAAGCCAGTTAGCACAGGAGATAGGACCTGCTAGGATGGGTGGACTAGATTCTGGAACGGCTTGAAACACAGAGAGGAGTTTAAACCAGTGGGGGCAGGAAATAGGGAACTACTGAAGATTTGTAAGTAGAGTGCCACAGGGACGGGAATGAAATATGGGCCACAAGCTGCTAGAGAAACAAACTGATCTGAACATCTCAACTCCTCAGAAGGTTCTGAGTAAAAACAAAGGGCGATTTTCCCCCTTGTCAGCTCTTCCCTCCCAGGACATTATACTGTATGCAAAACTGGTGACTGTAAGACAAACATTTTTTTTCCACTGCCCTTCTCAGCCCCCCGGGCCTTCAGGAAGACCAGCACTTCAAGCAAAGCCTTTTTATTTTTCAACACCCACAGCTTCCATTCAACAATCAGAAGTTTTCCACTTTCATCAAAGAGGCTGAACACAGAGGGCCGAGGAAGCAGCCTGTTCTCAGCAGATCTGAGCAGATTAAAGAGCCCCCACAGCCCACTCACTGCCCATGTCCACCAGAGGACTTGACCTTCTCCCCAGTCAGTACGCACCCCCCAAAAATACTGGCTTATCCATCTCAATCACCAAACCGAAGGAATGTGTACAGCCACTTCTTTCAAAACCAAGCCCAACTTGGGATCAAGGGGATCTCATCCTCCTCAACTGTCAAATGAGCACACTGCCGACCACACTACTTAGCCAAAGAAAACAATTCACCTCCTGATGCCTCTTCCATCTCCAGGAGCTATGATTTTATGGATTCACTGGGAAGAGACGTTCAGACCAACTCCTAGAGCCTAACCTAACTCAGGTGATGCTCAGAAGTTTGGAATCTATGCATGGGGGGCAATGGTAATAATCCAAGCTTGGCTTTGGACACAGAACATTTCTTTCAGCAGATCTGGGATTACTACAGCTCTCAGAAATGTACTGTAGCCAAAAATTGAGCATAAAATGGACGACCATTAAAAATAATTGGCTATTTCCCAGGGTGATACCAAATGAAGTTTTTCAAACAGACACATCTGGAAGCAGCAGCTATGCAGTGATTCACATTTTAAATAAATGACGTTTGGAAATAGAGAGTCAGCCAGGGAGATTCCCTGCCCCGGTCATTAATAACCATAAATGTGTGGTGTAGCTCTGTTCCCCAGAGAATCTGTCTATTGGATCTCTCTAAATTCCAGACTTGGCCCAAAGGACCACTTGAGATGTTTAACAGGAATAATCCAAAACTATCTGCCAAGTCTATTCCCATTTACAAAGCACTCTTACATCCTTATCTCATTTCATCTTCACAGTGACTGTCAATGCCAGCGTGCTTAGCCTATTTTATAGATGAGTGAAAGGGAGGGACAGTTAATAGAAATGGTCCAACACCATCCACCAAGTCTATTCCCATTTACAAAGCACTCTTACATCATTATTTCATCTTCAAGGTGGCTGTCAAGGGTGGTATCCTTAACCCATTTTACAGATGAGAAAAAGAAGGGGCATGCGACTTGTTCAAAGACCCATGGCTAGTAAGAAATAGGACTGAGAAAGGCCGGATGTCAGGCTTTCAGCCATCAAGTGCCATGAAGGTTGAATAATACAGCATGGACTTTGGCCCAGCAAGTGTGGATGTGCAGCCAAGTTCTTTTACTGAATAGCATTTGTGACTGTGTTACTGGTTCTGGCGGTTTGTACCCGCTCTGAGCCTCAGTTTTTCCTATCTGTAAACAGAAACATACGATCTGCCTCAGAGGCTGGAAGTGAGGGGGCAGTAAGGCAATGTATGTAAAGCTCCTAGCACAATGCTAGAGGTTCAGCTGGAGAAGTCACATGCACACACATACACAGCACATACACACACAACACACACACAATATACGCACCACAACCACACACCACATACATACCTCACATATATACACCACACATACACCACATACATACATCACACACCATAAATACATACCACACAGAATACACACCACATACACACACACACCACACTCTGTACCACACCACCTCCCTACATCCACTCCCACCGCTAATTCCTTCCCCTTTTTATGAGTTTTATGGCAGGTCCCGGTTAATCCACAAGTTTAACAGATCCCAAAACACTCTGCAGGAGTTTTTGTTCAGAAGATCAATGTTTCCAGATTTCTGCTCTGTGACAGTATCTTTTAGCCTGTCCCCAGATTTCAAACTGCCATGAGCTTGCCTCCCTTTGGATAAATCTCCACATCTGAGGGCTCTTCCTTCCCAAATATCTTGTAGCATTTCCAGTTCTCACCAGGAGCTGACATTATCAAACTGAACCCTTTTGAGTCATTCTACTGCAGCCCAAGGAATCCGGCCTCCCTGAGCCCCAGCAAAGAGACATTATCTGAGGAGGTCTTCCGAGCAGCAGGCCTTGCTGAAGAGAACGTACTGCTTCTCGAGCAGGAAGGAGTTTTGTGGCTGAGTCTAAGTGAAACAGAAGTCGCTTTGTGCACACACACATACAGACACTCAGGAGGGAAACCGTCATTTTCCTACGCGCCCTCTGACATCAGCTCCCTACTCCGTAGCTAGTTTCTCTGCACTCAAATTAATCCCTGGCGATGAAAAATGAACCTCTCCCCCACCCTTGCTGCTGCCTTTTGCCTCACGCCCCCAGAGAAGGGTTTCTTTACAAGGCAGCCGGTGAAGGTTTTTTTCCAAGTCACATGATCCAGGATGCAGGGGAAGAATCCTTCTTGGAACAGAGATGGGCCCAGAACCGATTCAGATGAGGAGAGATAAGGTGTGATGTGGGGAAGACTATATAAAGAACGGACCCTGAGCTAGCAAGCACTCAACAGCGTGGCCCCTTCTCAAGACACAGCCATGCATGTGCCAGCAAGCTCTGTCGCCAGCCATTTGGGAACCACGAGCCGGAGTTATTTCTACTTCACCACAGCCACCCTGGCAGTGTGTCTCGTCTTTGCTGTGGCAACCATTATGGTGTTGGTGGTTCAGAGGACGGTAAGTAGCCTCCTTTTCCTCGTCTTTCCTTTCTGATTTATGTTCAGTTTCTCTCAGAGAGAGCCTTGAGAACAAACTAATGGGTTAGCTGAGAGCAAAAACAACATACACATATCATGTAGACAATGGGAGAAAAAAACAGGAACTTCATTCTCTGAAACAATTTGGCTTTTTCAGACAAACATTTGTGGAGCCATCATTTCAAAACTTTTTAGGCTCACATGAGCCAAAGGAGTAGAGAGGAGCTATTGGCCTTTAGAGCCAGAGACTCATAATCAAGGAAGGAAGCAATAAGGAAATCTGACATGTTTGCACAACTTGTTATCATGTATTCAAGGCCTTGAGACCAGATTCCAACATTCCAGACTCTCAGTCTAAATGTTCCTGAGGTTTCTGAGGCCTCATCCATTGCCAAGAGTTTTTAACAAGGAGCTAAGTTTCAGAGGCCAACATCTGTCAAGGAAGGAGCCAAGCATAAAGACCCAAACTCCTTAAAGTGTTGGGCATTTCAGGGTTAAAGCCCGCAAAGCAAACTGAAAGTTTGCTCGCAAGCCACTGCTTTGATGAGCTTAGGGTGTCAGAAGAAACGTAGACCACAGAGACACAAGCAGAAATGTTTTTAACACCTGTTCCCTCAAAGACTCCTCAGAATACTAAAACTACGATTGTGAGGTACACAGTGTTCAGGGTCAAGCTGCCTCTGGACATTTACTTTGTTTGAAGTAAATGTTAAGATTTGTATCCAAAAATAGACAATAAGATGAAAGAGGAAGTTTCTTCATATTTTAGAAAATCAGTGTTTACAGAGAGCTCACCAATATGTATTTTATTGAAAATACTGCCCTGATAGCGTATATAGTTTATGATTTTTTTTAATGAAGTAAAGTATTTGTTCTTAACAGGTCATTTAAGAACATAAACCTCCCTCCCACCACCTTGCCAAAGTGAAAAATCTTTGTGTTTGTTACTTCAGTTTTCATGGTATTGCAATCCTGCAGAATTTGTTCTATGTTTCTTCACTTGTCTCAGACCAAATGCTGTATAACTTTTCAACTGTTAAAAATAACTCAGCTTTAAAGGGCTTTAGCATCCGTTTCTCAAGTGTCATCAAGCAGAGAAATGAAAATGAAGCTTGGAAGCTCACATCTCCATAAAAGCGAAAGAAAACAGAGTTGTTAACATTTTATTTAGATAGTGAAATTTTAAAAAATCATAGTTTAATGGGCTCAGCTACTTCTACTAAGAATAATACTCCTGAAGACATTCTAGGGCATCTTTTTTTTTTTTTTTTTTTAATTCTGTAGCAGCTCTATTTCTTTAATTCTAGTTTGGAGTAAACCAGAGGTGTGTCATCTTATAGGAATGGCCGAAGAAAAGAAATTGAAGCAGCTTTTAAGAAGTTCTTTAGTTAAGGGTTCCCGATAGTACTGGAAAGAAAAGAAGGAAGGAAGGAAAGAAGGGAGGGAGGGAGGAAAGAAGGATGGAAGAGAGAAAGAGGGAGAAAGAAAGTCAGAGAGAGATAGAGAGAAAATCAAGATGGCAAGAGGGGCTCAGAGGGGAGGGTAACGATGATATATAAAGCTAGAGAGAGCTCCAGAATGGTACTCATTCAAATCCACATTTTAGTTGGATTGATTCCTCCCCTGACACAACTGGAGTGAATCTTTCTGCCTCATTTCACAGATGTGGAGAATGAGGACCAGAGAGGGGACAAGGTTTGAACTAAGTCTGATCCTAAGACAGCAGTAGAGTCAAGACTGCTTGATTGTTTAATGAGAACAGTGTTATCTTTGCCAAGACAGCCACAGAAGCACCAAGAAACTTTTTTCTCACTCTACTTTTGGGAGATTTTTCTTCTTGTTCATCTGTTTCCTTGACTTACCCTTCATGCTGGATATGAAAGGACTCACTTCACAGTCTAATTACACAGTTTGGTGTGCTGTGATTTCCTATCCTGAGAAAAATCAGTTAACTGCTTAAAAGCTAAGGCCTGTAATATCAAAAGTAATAGTGACATTAAATGCTAAGTGCTTTACATATATCATTTCCAATAAATTATTCAGACATTAGCTGTTGCAATAACTAAAAAGAAAGTTATTCCCTTGAGCTTGAGCTATCAGGGAAGATTTTGTACAGGAAGAAAGAATATAGGCTGGCTTTAGGACAGGTAGATCTTAGACAAGTGAAAAGGTTCTAACAGGACCTCTGGGAAAGAAAGCAATGGGAAAGACCCAAGGAACTTAAACTCACATTCCCATTATTAGAAATGGAATGGGTTGATTGCCACATAACATTCTATGCATGAGGTTGTCCTAACTGTGGATGGGGGCAGCAGTGGAGAACAATGAGGAGAATGGTTTTACTGACCTAAGAAGTCACAATTCTAGATCAAAAGACCCAGATACAGACAACATTTAAAACAAAATACATCTATGATAGGTGATGGTGATGGAAGGTAGGCTTCCTTGAGAAGGAAGTTAGGGAGAGAGCGTTACCCAGGCACATTTAACAAAAACTTCACTGGCAATTGGAGTTTTGGGTTGGCTTGAGAAATGCTTACAGTTTCAAACAGGTGAAGAAGCCACATCAGAGGAGAGGGCACTCCTGGCCAATGGAACAGCACAAGCAAAGGTATCAAGGAGAAAAGATGCAGCATATGTAGGAAAACCAACAAAGATTACCTTGATAATTAGATTGAAGAGCAAATAACTCAAAAGTCAAACACTTTGGGAGAGACAAAGAAGGAACTTAGGTATCAAACTCAAATATTTATTGAGCATCTACTGTGTACAGGACATTGTTCTAAGCGCTAGGGATATAGTTCTGAACAAAACCAACAAAATCCCTGCTCTCACATTGCTTACAGAACTTACTTTCTAGTGATATCTTTAAAGTCTCTGTGGTGGTTGCATTTTCTTTTAATTTAAACTGTATATTAAAAATTAAATACCATATTCACATGGTTTAAGAAAAGTGAACAGTCAAAAGGGAAAGGAAAGAAAAGCAAAAGTCTTTCATACTCTCCGCATTCAACCACCAATCCCCCTTCCCTGAGATAACCACCATTGATAGATTCTTGTGTGTCCTTTCAAAACTCTTGTGTACCCGCAATTAGATAGTACACACACCATTATAGTAAAGCAGCAATTTTGTACCTTACTTCATTCATTTGACAGTATATCTTGGACATCTTTCCATGTCAATACATAGAAGTCCATCTCATTTTCTTGAAGAGTTGCACAGTGTTCTATTGCACAGATGCTTCATAATTTATTTTAGCTGTGCCCAATGAGGGACATTTATGTTTTGCTCTAGAATCTTTTCCCTGAGCACACAATTGTGAGTATATCTGTGGGATAACTTCCAGCGGTGGGAATGGAATGTGGATTTTCATTTCAATAACTATTGCCGATCAGAGTCCAAAGAAATTGTACTGTTGGGGAAGTAAAACCCCTACCAACAAAGAGACACCTCACACTTAACTATGGAAAAAAAGAGAATTGATTATAAGTAAGCCCCAAGAGACTAGAGAATCAGAAAGAAATGTCACACAACTTATACAGCAAAGCAAAAGAAAAAAAATAAAATGTCTCGTATGTCCTCGAGAGATAAAAGGTTACATAACAAGATAGGCTTCTAGGTTGACTCTGTGGAGTTCCTGGGTGATGTGAACAGTTAGCATGCTTCACTGCTAACCAAAAGCTTAAAGGTCCGAGTCTACCTCAGAAGAAAGGCCTGGCGATCTACTTCCCAAAAAATCAGCCATTGAAAACCCTATGGAGCACAGTTTTACTCTTAACACACATGGGAGTCACCATGTGTCAGAGTCCACACAGTGGCAAATGTTTTGTTTGTTTGTTTTTTATAAGGTCATCAACCTTGGAAGCACCTCTGCATTAAAAAACTGGAGACTGAGCTTATTTATTTAGTCCCGGGAGAGATCGTGTGCATTCCAAAAGTTTAGAGCAAGGGCTCAGGATCGTTATGTTTTCAAGGAGACCTTTCAAGAGGGGAAGCGAAAGCAGCTATCTCGTGTCCCTTTATAAACAAAGAAAAGGAAATTTCAATTTATTCTGACAATACCATTCTACCTCCCTACCAACGATGAGCTGAGCGTCTGGTTAGGGGTAGTGATAGTAATGTGGTTTTGTGTTTGTTTTTAATCTCAGATACGTATATGAGAGAGTTGAAATACCCTGTGATGCTTCCCTCTACCCACGTTACTCTCTCCACCTGGCATTCATTGAATTTATCAATCCAAAATACGTTTGCTGAGAATATGCTCAGGAGCAAGTTCTGTGCTGAGCTGTGAGGGGAGGGCCCAGGCGGGCCTGGCAGCACTGCTGTCTTCTGGGAACTCTATCAGTTTGAGGGTATGAGGTCCAAACACAAGAGTTCGAGTTCCAGACAGATGGCACAGAATGCCATGGATCAGAAGACAGGGAGGGAATCTTTACTTGGGATGAGGTGAGGGTTTCAAGAAGTGCAGGAACAGAAGCCAGGACTCCAAGAATTAGATGGATCACTTTTTATGCCCAAAGTTTTATTTTGAAAAATTTCAAACCTACCGAAAAGTAGGATGATGAAAACTCATATAACGTTTCACTTAGATTCACCGAGTGTTGATGTTTTGCCATATTTGAGCTCTCTATAAACTGTATACATATATTAAAATAAGTTGCAGATAGCATGACTCTTCACCCTCATATACTTTAGCACCCATAGCCTGATGCCCTTATTGTTAGCTAAGAAAGTTAATGTTCATTCATTTCTGTAAGAGCATCTAATAATAACATACAATCAACATTTAAATTTCACCATTTGCCTGCAAATGTCTCTTATAGCTTTTGTTTGTTTGTTTTGCTTTGTTTTATTTTGGGACCCAGAATCTAACCTAGGTTGACACACTTCATTTGGTTATGTCTACCTTAATCTAGAATGTTAGTATTTAAAGAATGGTTAGAAACGCAAAATCTCAAACTCCACCCCAGACCTACTGT